CTGCAGAACTTCATCAAGGTCCTTCTCCCTAGATAATAATGGCAGCCGTTATTAATACACATTGCTCTTGAATTGCATGGGTCTTAACAACATGGTTTTAGTTATACATGGAGTTTCCAATAAATAAATAAATATTTAATAAGTACTGGGCCTTTGGCTACTCAGAACCCCATGAGTTCAACAATGAAGGTGTCAAAATAATCTACGTGCCTCCAAACACAACATCCGTTATTCAGAAGGACCTTTAAGGCTCATGACACATGGTACTGTATGGAAAGGACTACCAATACTACGGAAGAGAACCTCGACAGAGAGAACTGATCTGTGCAGGTGTGTGCAAGAGGGAGAATCATCTGCTTTGTAGTTGTGTTTTTGGGGGCAATGAAGAGTTATACACAGATTTTGAACTACACAAGGGCCCATCACCCCTAACCCCGACATTGTTGCAGGGAGAAGTGTTGAACTGAATGATCCAGTCAGTTGTATTTTACACTTGGCAATTCCATCAGCCAGCTCTCTCCGTGATTTCCTATCTTGTCCAGTTTCTTTCAGCTGCTTTATATTTTGACCAGTGTCTGCTTTGATGACATCCAACCAACACGTTCTTTAAGTGCCCGTGGGTGAAACTCTACAAGATGCCAGTCGCATTCCTGATGACACATGCCCGGGCTGGCGCAGCCAGCACAGGAACTGCAACCCGACACGAGAGTGTCCGCATTGGAGAGCACCTAGTTAAGGTTTCCAATCCACAACGACAAATTCCCTTCCTTTGCTTCTGGCCTCCATCACAGCAAAGCTTCAACTCTGCAGGGATGTGAGAGTGTGCATGGTGGGAGCACACACAATCCTGGTGTTTTTTGAAAAAAATCATCTGTCCTTCTTCGTTCTGCTCAGACTCAGGAACACCCCATCTCCATCTCCCAGATCAATCCATCTGTCCCTCCACGTAGCCTCAGAACCAACCTGCCCTTCTTTATGTCTTTAAAATGTATCCACCTCTGTACAGGATCAGAAATACTCCCCCTTTATGACAAAACAGTCCTGCTGTCTCTGTGTAGGCTCCTGCCTTTAAGACAGACCAGGTTTACTCAGGAGTAATACATGCCAACTTCTGTATGTGTTACTGGTAAGTTGTGCTAAGAAACTCCCTACCTTCAGCTGTTGCGTTTCAGATACATTTGCCCTACTCTCTGTGTATGCTCAACTACCCGTCCCAGTCTTTACATTACATCCCTCCTGCACTCTGTGTAGGCTCAGAAACCAGCATCCTTTTAAGCTGTATCAACTGGCACTCTGTGTAGGTTCACAGGCTTAAAGATATACCCGCCTCGCATGCTGTGTAGGCGTACCCTCCTTCTTCCTGATATATCAACTCCTGCATAGGCTGAGAAATGTGTCCTTAGCCTTGTTTTTCAGCTAGATCAGCTCCTGCACTCTGGGTTGGCTCAGGAGCCCTCTTCCTTTCTGACAGATCAGCTCCTGCACTCTGTAGGCTCAGGGGCCCTCCTTCTTTCTGATAGATCAGCTCCTGCACTTTGTCTAGGCTCAGGGGCCCTCTTCCTCTCTGACATATCAGCTCCTGCACTTTGTGTAGGCTCAGGGGCCCTCTTCCTCTCTGACATA